ACCACCACCAACCCCCCCCCAAAAAAAAAGCCCCATCGCTAAAACAACTCTCTGCCGCGCAGACAGCGCACCGCGCCAGGAAGAGGGCCGGCGGGAAGTCCGCTTGGCGAGCCGGGGAACACGCCCCTAAAACTTTCGGAAGTCTGAACAGGGTGCTAGATTCCGAAACCTGCACCTGCCGGCCGCGAACTGTTGGCGCGCAGCGAACTCACGCGCTCGGATCAAAGGTTCGCGCTGCCACTCGCGCCCCAGCCACGGAGAAGAAACCCAAAAAAACAATCTCGCGCCCCCACTCGGCGCAGAGTCCACGGCGAACTCGGCCCCAGACCGTGGCCCCAAGCGGGAAGGGGCTGGGTGGCCTCCCCCCCCGAGGGCTCATCAAGAACAACTACGATCACCAACCAGAGGAGGGCCAGCGACCGGGCGCCTGTCCCCGCGGCTGAACGCCCCCACAAGCTCCCCACCCACGGCCCTGCGCAGATGCAAAAGCAAACGGCGATTAAAAGCATCCCAGGCTAGGCCTGTGGACGGGCTGGGCGACTGGGCCGCATGCAACACCTACTCTACCGTGATCACAAGGAGGTCATCCGAAATGTCACAGCCGGGGGGTCGGTCTCGAATTCTCTGGACGGCCCGTGCCACGCGGGCAGCCACTCCTGAAAAGTCTGGTCGACGACATCCTGGCCTACAATGAAGGTCGGTTTCCCCCCCCTGGCCGAGGTTCGCCAAAATAGGATGGGGTGGGGAAGCGGGCCCCTTGGAAAATTCGCGGGCAACTCTGGCCCCTGTTGGCGGGCCCGCGCCCCCACTTCCCACGGCCTTCCGCAGATTCCCGCCGAAGCCCGCGCTCAACGTCTCCGGCCTCTACGTCCTGAAGCGGGCCAGAAAAGGCCAGCGCTGAGGGACTGCGCAGCTCCACAACGCGGGCGCCCCCGAGGAGGCCAAGAGAGGCTGGCAAGAGAGGCTGGGCCGAGCGAGACTTCACTGCCTGCTTGCACCTCCAGAGGGCATCGACAAAGAGATGGCCAGCCTCCTTCCTGGACGTCAACGGGAAAGGTCGCGAGGCAGTGCGCACCCGCACTTCGGCGCGCCCCCTCAACCACTGAAGCCCATCACAACTGCCCGACGCGGACCAGGCGGAAGCCCGCAATACCTACGCAGACGCTGACGTCAGGGCCCAGGCAAGCGCAACAAAAGCCATGGCAACTCTCATGACACGATGGCCCGGGGGGCCTGCCAGCCCCCCCGGAGTTCCTCCGTTTCTATGCCCCAGTCTCCCCCCACAACGAAGTGGGCGTCCGTTTCGGCCACCACCTCACCTCAGGTCACCAAGAATGAAATAGCCCCGCCGAGCCCAAACGCGGCGCGCCCGCACGCCAGCGCAAACAAGAAATGAAGATGGGCCATCAGCTGCAAACAAGAGGCAACTATCTTTTCGCACAGCCCAGCACTGCCAAACAGGGGCCAGCCCAAAGCGGCCGCGAACCAACGCGCCCCCTCCTCCCCCAAGGGCCCCCCGCAGCCCTGCACACGCGTGTGCACCGCAGACTGAAGAACAAACGAGTAGCTCGCCTTGCTACCCCAACTCCTAGGCGCGGGAATTTGTTCCTTCTTGCATTTTTGCTCTTGAAACAGGACGACAAACTCCCTGCTCTTGACCTCTTCGACCCACTCCAAGAAATGGAGCCTGTTAGCCACGCGCCCGAGCTGCATGTCGCAACCTGCGATTCTTCGTCTACCGGATGATGATTCGGGGGAGGGCCCCCCTCGGCCGCGCAGGGGGGGCCACGCCAACGGCTGCCAGTCCTTCCCGACCCCGCTGCACAGCCGAATGCGGGGTGCTCGAATGTCCCCCCCCTTGATGGCGCCTCGCCGCTGCGCCCTGCCCCGTCGGAACCCCTCGGCCCGAGTTAATCTGGGGTTGGCTGCGCGTCACTAGCACGCCGACGAGCGCCCTTGAAATCCGGGGCTTCGGCCACCCGCACCTCTGCGGGCCGCCCGCGCGTCTGCGGCCCCTGGAACACGCCCTTTGAGACTTCCCCCCGTCGGGCCCGCCCGAGCCCCTGGACCGTGGACCCCCGCGGGGCTGCCTTCGGCCCCGACAAACGTTGGAAGTGGCGACCTAGCGACCAGCCCAGCCCACCCGCCGGTCCTGGGAATACGCCGGGCCCCAGCCACCTCGGACATATCCTGAGGCCCTCCCATGATGCGAATTTCAAATACTTGCTGGATGGGCGGGGGCGCCTTCTGTAACTGGCGTTTCGGCCACCCGCGCCTCACCGGCCCAGTTCCATCGCTGGGCGCAGGAGAAGGTCTCGGCCACCCGCGCGTCTGCGGCCTCCCCAACACTCCCTTCACGTACCTCCTGGTTCAGGGCCCACCCCAACCCCTGCCCACCCCACCCCAGGGCCCGCACGAGCCCTGAACTTCGCTCAACGTGACCCATCCAAGCCACCCTACGAATTAGGGGGCATGACTACGTGATCTCAGTGGACGCCTGAGCTTTACTTCCCGCACACCACCCTGCAGGCAGGAGGGGTCATAGTTGCCAGCACGGCGCTGCATCGCAGCACCTCGACCTAGCGGGCAGCGGACTCACCCGCCCGTCGGGCCCCCAGGGGCCACCGTCTCCGCCATAGTGCTGCATCACAGCATCTCGACCCACGGCGGCGGCGGACTCGCCCACTGGGAGCCGCAGCAAAACGCGACGAGGCAACGCTCCAGGCCGTGCCAATGATGTAAATAAAAAAATCTGGGGTCGTCGCGCTGGAACGGGGCTTCGGCCACCCGCGCACGCGCGGCCCAGACAAGCGGCTGGGTCGGGGGGGAGGTCGCAACCGCCCGCGCGTCTGCGACCTCCTACGACCCGCTACGACCCCACTTCTGGGCATGCCCCGGCCCCTGTCTTCTGGCCCCCCAAAGGGCGGCCCTGCGCCCCGAACAAAGCGCGCGCCCGTGGCGCTCCAGGAGGACCGCGAACATTCGCATAACATTGTCGATCTCCGCCCAATGGACCCTCGCAAAAGCCTGCCGCGCGCGCAGGGCGCGCGCCCCGATGGGACGCCAAAAAAGCTGACCTCCCGATCGTTCCTCTGCCCCAGCCTCCAAACGCGTTTTGTGGGCAGCCACCCACAGCGAACCACCTGGGCTGCATCTGGAAATCAAAAACTGCCCGAGGGCTGCACTTCCCGACAAGTTCCGGAAGCCGACCATGTATTCAATGCGTCACTTCATCCACGCGTCATGATCGCCCTGCGACTTCCACGCAGGTCCCAGAGCCAACGCAGGCCTCAGGTCGCCACGTCCTGCACAAAGCGGCGCCGGTTCCTGGGCGTGCATGGCGCCGCAGGTAGCAGCAAAAGAGGCGGGCGCTCCATCGCCTGAATGCCTCCGACACCTTCACGACCAAGCAGCCAGCACGATGCGTGCAAGACCAGCTCCTCTCCCTTGCCTGGCCCCCGCTTCCCAAGCCGCTGCAATGATTGCCTTGACCCCTTGTCCTTCTGGGTCGAGGTCGGCGTCTTCAGCATATCCTGCTTTGATGAACTCGGCTGTGGCCTGTACCGCTGGAACAGCAGGCGGGCTTCCTCTGCATATTTGATGCCATTATTTGTCACATCTCTTGGGTCTGGTTACGTAACTCCTGGATGTTGCCTGTTGGGGGGCCGACGGTCTCGATGATGGTCGTTTGTACCTCTTTTCCGATGCAACTCTTGAGCTCCTCCCACTTCTGGCGCTCAGTGTCCTCGACCTCCAAGTCCGAGGTGCCCAGGATGTCTCCATCGACGATACCCACAAACTCTTGGCTGTCCTCGCCACCGATCAGTTAAAAAAAGTTGATATGCGGGGCACCTGTCCACCTGGCCGCCGACTCCGACGTTGCTGGCGAATCAAAGCCTTCTTCCCCTGTCGCCTAGCCAAGTTCCAACGCCAGCTCATCCTGCCAGTCTTTCTTGGCGGTGACAGCTGCCGATGCAGCCATTGGCTGTGGTCTGCTCGCACTCCTCGAACCAATAGGCAACCTCGCCCTCGTTTGAATGAAACGTATAGTCCCAGCTGAGCCTGAGACCTGCGGCAGACAACCCCTTGGCCGAGACGGTAGTGTCCAGCTGCCTTCGCGGAAGTGCCACTGCTGGGTCGTGCTGGCCACCGCTGCTCTCCAAGACGTTGCGCTCGTCTGCTCCTTGGCTGACCAGCTTTCCATTGAGTCGTTCCAAGAGGTCCGATATGCTGACTGCTTGCTGGGCTGCCGTTCCCCTTCGTGGCGGGGTCGAAAACTTCGGGTGGTTCATTATCCTTGGCAGTTCTCCCTACTGCCACATTCCTGGTGGCGCTTCCGGTGCGTGGCCTCCACCTCCTTTGCCGTTGCCGTTAGACCAGACTCCCTGAGGTGGTGCGCGCCATGGCAGATCCTGAGGCACCAGAGTGACGTTGCAGCTGAACAGAACGTGCGACACTTCCAGTTCCATCTGTACCTGCACGATGGGCACGCGAGAAAGCCCTTGGCGGCATCCTTCCCCATGGGCTGGCTCCTGTAGGAGCTCGCCGAGAGAAGAATGCCGTCGGCACAGACAGTACGGTAGCGGTGGCTCTCGCGAGCCGCGTGACAAGAAAAAAAATCCGACGGCCAGGGATCGCAGATGGGGGCGCACCTCCCCATTGCCACCTCACATCAATGAGCCTCCTTGATCCAGTCTTGAGCCAAACTTGCTACGGAGGAGGAGGAGAGGAGGAGGAGAAACAGTGGGGAGGAGGAGGAGGAGGAGGAGGAGGAGGAGGAGAAAGAGGAGGAGGAGCAGGAGGAGGAGGAGGAGGAGGAGGAGTGGGGGGGAGGAGGAGATGAAGGAGGAGGAGGAGGAGGAGGGAGGCGGGAGGTCTGGGGATGCCCCGACCCTGCCGAATCGACCCGATCGCGAGTACCGTGGCCGAGCCTAGCAAACAGACTCCCTGAGCCGACGCTGGTGGCCGCAGCGGCTTGTGGTGCCCCAGCCAGCGGCGACCTGACCCGTCTGCGCCTGGCACGACTCGCACAGCCCCATGGCGGGGCGGCAGACGCACCGCGAGGACGCAGAAGGGAAGGAGGGCAGGGAGGTGGCCCGAGAAGCTCTGAGCCAGACCGGCTGGAGGACCAGGCAGAGGGGGGCGGGCGGCGGGAGGAGGGGGGAGGGGGGGGAAAGGGAGAGGGAAGGGGGGGGGGGAAGGGAGGGGGGGGGGGGGGGAAGGCGGGCGGGGGGAGGAAACGAGGGCGGAGGGGGGAGGAGGGAGGAGAGAGTGAGGAAGGGGGAGAGACGGTTTGGTTTACAGCGTGTGTGTCAACGAGGGCATGCCGCTCTCAGGAGCCAGAAGAGGGTGAGACACCCTGGGAGGAGGGAGGCGTCGGAGGGAACTCGGAACTCGGAGTTCCGCGGAAAGATGCCAGACGGCATCGTTGCCGGGTGTGTGCACTACGCTGAAGACGCTGTGCAGAACGCGTCGGAGGGAGGCGAGAGGAGGAAGCACCGAAGAACCCTGGTAGGAGGGGGAGAGGAGAGAGGGGAGCACCCCCCGCGGCGTCCAGAAAGGTCCCCTAGCTCCGCAATCTGTCCTGCAACCCTTCTCCCCCTCCCTTCCTCCCCATGATCCTCCCCTGCACCTTTCCATCCTGATCCTCCTCATCACCACAAACCTTCCGACCCTCAGAAGAGGTCCAGGAAACATCGGGCGACCTCCGAAACTCAAGGAACAGTACCGAACTCCTTCTCCTCCTCTGCGTTCTCCGCTTCCCTCCCTCCCTCCATACATCCATTCCTCCCCCCTCACCTCCTGCTCATCCTCCATCTAATCAGCCCGTCTCCCCTCCTCCTCGCTCCTCGCTCCTCGCTCCTCGCTCCTCCCTCACCTCCTGCTCATCCTCCATCTAATCAGCCCGTCTCCCCTCCTCCTCGCTCCTCGCTCCTCGCTCCTCGCTCCTCCCTCCTCCTCCTCCTCCTCCTCCTCTCCTGCTCCTCCTCCTCCTCTCCTCCTCCTCCCTCCTCCTCCTCGCTCCTCCCTCCTTTTCCCATGCTCCGCCTCCTCCTTCCCCTTCCTACCATCCTCCTCCTCCTCCTCCTCCATCCTCCTCCACCTCCTCCTCCTCCTCCTCCTCCTCCTCCTCCTCCTCCTCCTCCTCCTCCTCCTCCTCTCCTCCTCCTCCTCCTCCGCCTCATCCTCCTCCTCCTCCTCCTCCTCCTCCTACTCCTCCGCCTCCTCCTCCTCCTCCTCCCCCTCCTCCTCCTCTCCTCCTCCTCCTCCTCCTCCTCCTCCTCCTCCTCCTCCTACCTCCTCCTCCTCCTCCTCCTTTCCTCCGCATCATCATCATCATCCTCATCACATCATCATCATCATCATCATCATCATCATCATCTCATCATCATCATCATCATCATCATCACTTCACCAATCACCATTCACCATCACAATCACCATCACCATCACCATCACCACCACACCAACCATCACTCATCATCATCATCATCATCATCATCATCATCGTATCATCATCATCATCATCATCATCATTCATCATCCATCACATCATCATCATCATCATCATCATCATCATCATCAGCAGCAGCAGCAGCATCGTCATTATCATCATCAGCAGCAGCAGCATCATCAACATCAGCATCATCATCATCATCATCATCATCATCATCGTCATCATAATCATCATCAGCAGCATCATCATCGTCATCATCAGCATTATCCTTATCATCAGCGTCATCAGCATCATCATCGTCATCAGCATCATCATCACCATCATCATCAGCATCAACATCATCGTCAGCGTCATCATCATCATCATCATCATCAGCATCATCAGCATCATCAGCATCATCATCAGCAGCAGCATCAGCATCAGAATCATCGTCATCATCATCATCATCATCGTCATAATCATCATCATCAGCAGCAGCAGCAACATCATCAACATCAGCAGCAGCAACATCATCATCATCATCATCATCATCGTCATCATCATCATCAGCAGCAGCAGCAACATCATCAACATCATCAGCATCATCATTATCATCATCATCGTCATCATAATCATAATCATCATCAGAAGCATCATCATCGTCACCATCAGCATCATCCGTATCATCAGCGTCATCAGCACCATCATCATCACCATAATCAGCATCAACATCATCGTCAGCGTCATCATCATCAGCATCATCAGCATCAACATCGTCATCATCATCAGCAGCATCAGCATCATAATCATCAGCATCATCATCATCATCAGCAGCATCATCATCATCAAAATCATCATCATCATCAGCATCAACATCATCATCATCATCATTCATCGTCATCATCATCATCATCATCATCAGCATCATCATCATCATCATCATCATCATCATCATCATCATCATCATCATCATCATCATCATCATCATCATCATCATCATCATCATCTCCCTCCACCTCCTCGTCCACCTCCTTCTCCTCCCCCTCCCCCTCCCCCTCTTCCCCCTCCTTCGCCATCTCAACCACCTAAGCCGCCATCGCCTTCCCCTCATCTGTCTCCTCCTCTTTCTCAGCATCCTCCTGCCGAGGAGGAAGATGCAAGGTTTCGGCACTTGTGGGCCTCCATGGAGCACAAGTGACCTCCTGGAACCTCCAGATGATGCTGATCCTGATGATGTTGAGACAAGACCCCGTCACCCTGCGTCCAGATGTGCTTCCCTGCCTGTCAGCATGGCACACCCCCCTTGTGGGCCTCGTGCTTCAACATTATGTACGGGTGTGTGCCCCTCTGGTCGTCATCCACCTGTGCGGATCAGGGCTTGCATACATATCGCTCAAAATCCGCCGACCCCTTGTGGGTCTCTAGGCGTGTGAGACTATCCCCCCCCCATAATCCCCCCCCCAGGGACCCCTAAGCCGGCAAGTCGACCCCCCCCTCGCCCAGCGCGACCCCGGACCGAACGCGTCACGGGGGAGCGGAGGGCTCCAAAACTGGCCAAGAAGGCGCCAAAACGCTCCCAAGACGGTCCCAGGGGGCCACGATTCGCCGAAATATCGCCCTGGACGCCCACGATGGCCTCCAAGCGGCCTCCGAAGCTGCCAAGACGCCCCAAAAGGCCCCCAAGATGCGCCCCAAGAGGGTCCCAAGAAACAAAAATCGTCCCATTCCCTTTGGGAAAAAACAACCATTTTCCGCATGCTCGCCTGTTTGGTTTTCACAACGTCCCAAACAGGCAAAGAAACCTTCAACATCGCCCCCAGACGGCCAAAGGGGCCACCAAGAAAGGTCGAAGAGGGTCCAACAACAGCCCCCGAAGCCCCCAAGACAGCCCAAGAGGGACCCCAGACGGCTCCAAGACGGAGCCCAGAGGACACCTTTTCGAGCCTTCGGCCCCAAGACGCCCCCAGCCTGCCCCAAGAACAGCCCACGAGGCCCTGAGGGACCCCCAAGAGAACCTCAAAGGCCTCCAAGAAGCCCCCAGGAAGCCCCCAAGAGGCCCCAAAACTGGCTGGGCCCAAGATGCCTCGAGGCGGCCGGATATGGCCTACAGACAGGCCAAGATGCCACCAAAAGGCCACACAAGAGCACCAAGAGGTACGACAACAGCAACGAAGCACCAGGCACCAAAAATAGTCAAAAGATGGTCCAGAAATGGTCTGGGGACTATCTTTCGAGTACTCTCTGATCTTGTTGGGGGTATCTTTGGGTTTTTTTTATGTTTCGTCGAGAATCCCCTATGGGGGACACGCCGACCCAAACGTAGCCAGTCGAGTGCCCCAGCGGCATGCCATCCCCCTCGGGGGGGGGGGCCGCGCCGCCCACGAGAGCGCGAGCGGGGGCGGGCCCCCTCCGCGCGAGGCGCGGGCTCGTCGCCGCGCGCGCGCCTCCACGTGCGGCAGCCGGGCGTCTCGTGGACGTTCCGGAGATGGCGGGGGCCCACCCTCAGTATCAGGTCGGGCGTGTCCCCCTACAGGGGGATTTTCGACGAAAAATAATAAAAGATCTTCGAAAAATGCCCCAAAAGGCCAAAAAATAGTCCCAAGATAATCCCCAAACTATTGTTTGAGCATTTTTTGACTATTTTGGGTGTATTTTTTTATTTTTCGTCGAAAATCCCCCCGTAGGGGGACACGCCCGACTTAACCTTAGTGGGCCCTGGATCGGCGTTAAACGGCGCTGAAAATAGAGGCAGAACGGCGCCCCGGAGAAACATGAGGCAGAACGGCGTTGAAAGTCGATCGGGCCCCGCCCGCCCCCGGAAGGGGACGGACAAGAAGGCGGAGCCACTGGAGCCCTGAGGCAGGAGGGCGCCCCGAGCAGATGAGGATCTGGGAGTCCAGCGCTTAGTGGGCCCTGGAAACGACAGGGCCGTTTTTTTTACCGGTTCCGTTTTGCCGTTTTTGTTGACGGTTCCGACGCCTTTTTTTACTGGTTCCGTCGCCGTTTTGTGACCGGTCCCGGCTCCGGTTCCAATCCTGGAGCTGTTTGTTTTGCCGTTTCCGGTCGCCGTTTTTTGCCGTTTCCATTTTCAAGGGACAGTTTTCTGGAATCGGTGAAAAAACGGCCCTGTCGTTTCCGGGGCCCACAAAGGGCCCACCCGCACGCCGACGCGGGCAAAAGTTTCACGATCTGGACATGCGCACACAACCCCACGCATCTCACTGGGGCCACCAGGGCCACGGAGGTTTCAGACGAATTCAGGAATATGGGAGCGATCATGTTACCAGGCACCTCGCGCCGACAGAGCGGGGACGCACACTCTCTTTCTACATCCTCATCATTGGGAACGGAGTCTTGGCTGGACAAGGGCTCCGAACAAGAGATGCGGAGTGACTATCTCTCTGCATCAGAAGCGTTTCCCTCGAAATTTCACACGCAAGATCTACGCGCCCCCCGCGAACATGCGTGGCCGCGTAGGCGCAGTTCGCATCAAATCCCAGACCTCGGACGTTCTTTTCATGGCGCAATATTTCCCGACGCTGCCTTCGTTGCGCGGTGGACGCCCCTACTTTCGGAAGACGGTTCTCGGCCTCTGTGCGCGTGCCAAATTCGTGCTGAACAGCGTGGGCAGCCGCACCCCCTTCGCCGGCGTCGACCTCAACGATCACCTCGGGTTCTGTGCTGACGACACGATCGACAGCGAAGGGCCCATCCCTTCCCGCGAAGGCACGTCGGCCTGGGGGGCCTCGCCTCCGCGGGGGGGGGGGGGACTCGGACGACTACGCGGGCCCCTGCGGGGCGGAGCTGGAGGGCTTCTCGTCGGGGGCGGCCAAGAGGGGGGTGTCCAAGAGGGGAGGGGTGCAAATCATGACCGGCGGCATGTGCGCGGCCCAGCGGGGGGGCCAGGGACGCAATGGAATAAGAAGAGGCGCCATGAAATCTGGGGAAATATAATGGCCCCCGCCATGATATCCACCCCCCCCCCTAGTCATCACCCCCCTCTTTGCCGCCCCCGAGGTCAAGCACTGGCACCAGGTCCTGCGGGACACGGCCATCTGCGCGGTCAACGCGTTCTGCCCTGCGGGCCACTCCTCCAGGATCGACTTTCTTGAGGGGGCACCAGTACACACAAATAAATACACACAAATAAAAGGATTCCCCATATTTTCCCGTATTTTCTGGGGTTTTGTCTTCCCCCCCACTTCCCATAGTTTCCCATATTTTCTGGGAAATCGCCGATGAATTGTGTCTGTGTTTTTTCCCCTCCTGACATCTGCGCGGTCCACGCGTTCTGCCCTGCGGGCCGCTCCTCCAGGATCGACTTTTTCTGCGCGTGCCCGCGGGCCCACACGGCCCCACGCGCTCGCCGCTGCCGCGCCCTGCGCGCCGCGGGCCGCTGCCTGCAGCCAGCGACCGCACAGTGGGCGCTCGGGGCCACGGGCCAGTCTTCCTCGAGCGCGCGTGCCTCTTCGAGGCTACTTTAGTCGTGGAATCAAGTGGTTTTCAAAATGTTTGGTCTTGAGAAGCTCCGCGTGGCGACGCCCCCGTCGCCACGCGTGCCCTCTGCGTGCCTGCGGGGGCGCCGCCACGCAGAAGTACTGGAGACCGAGCATTTGGGGCGTCGCTACGCACGCCCTCTGCGTGGCTGCGACCATCTGTTAGAACCCTTAAACCAATTAAATTCACTAATAAAGTACACGTCGGTCGAAAGAGGTAGGTAAAAACATGAGGCAGGAAGGCGGATTCAGTGGATGGGGTCCAGGCCCCCCCCCGGGGAATCACAGAACGCAGCAAGAGCGTGTCGACTCTTGAAGCAGGAAGGCGCTTGAAGTAGATTGGGATCTGGGAATCCAAAAATACCTACTTTCAACGACCGGCCTCGCCCAGGCAGCGCCGGGACTTCGACGGCACGCTGCGCGCGCACTGCGCGGAGGCCGCGGCCGCGCGCACCCCCGGCGGAGAGCAGCGCGCCACGAGGCGACGCGCCCCGTGTTCCCGAGGGCGGGCGGGCGCGGCTCTGCTCGCGCCCCCCACGCCCGACGAGCGCTGGAGCGCCATCGCTCGGACGTCCATTCCCCGTGCTTTGTTTTTCGGCTTCGTGCGCAGCTTTTTCCTCCTCCTCCTCCTCCTCCTCCTCCTCCTCCTCCTCCTCCTCCTCGACGCGACATGGCGATGGAACTGTGCTTTTGTTCCGGCTTCGTGCGCAGCTGTTGCTCCAAATGATCCAGGGTGCTCCTCGATGGCCCTCGCCGAAGGAACAAAAAAATGCACCCGTCCGCGCGGTGCCAGGAGCTCTGGGAACGCCATCGCGGCTCCTCTTCGCGGCGCGGCCACGCGGCGGAATTCCAAAGAGGCCCTCGCCCGAGGGGAGCGGGAGGAGTCGGGCGCCCGGAGGGGCCGCGCTCGCCCACCCCCGCACGCCGGCGCCAGCCTCGGGAGCGGCACAGCGGGCGAGAGTCGGCTCCTCCTCCTCCTCCTCCTCCTCCTCCTCCTCCTCCTCCTCCTCCTCCTCCTCCTCCTCCTCGACGCGACATGGAGATGGAACTAGCGCGCATCACCTTCCGCTTGAGTAGGGGGCCTCATGCGAACCCTAGCCCTGCTCCCCACGATGTTTGAGGGAGTGGGCGGGGTTCACGTCGATCGGGGGCTCCCGAGCGAGGTGAACCCCACCCTCCCCCTCAGAAATCGCGGGGGGTAGGGGCATGGTTCGCATGTGGCCCCCTACACCTTCCGCCTGAGACGGCACTCGAGGCAGATCACCTAGGCTCGGAAAGACTCCCTCGTGGCCGAACTCAACGCAGCGCGGAAGGAGCACGACCACTTCGCGGCGCAGCCTCTCACTCACAGGCTCGCTCGTAAGGGTCGAGGGCCTCGTCATCGCAAGCGCTTCAAGGCGCGGGACGAGAACTGCGAACCCCAGGACATCGCTGACTCCCTTCGACTCCCTACTCAGCATGGGGGGTCTCTCTGCAGTGGATTGCGACCTACAGCAGAAGCTGGCGGAGCGTTTCGACCACGTCTTCCTCGACGACGAGGCCCACAAGACCGACCGCCAGAGGTGCGACACCACGCAGCTCGTCGACCTCGATGTGGCCGAATCCGACCTGACGGGGATCATTCGGGAGCTTCGGAGGACTCCCTAGAGGAGGGCCACCCCAGAGTGGAGTATGCCGTCAAAGATGCGGCTCATCTTGCTCAACCCCACGCAGCGGGGGAAGTTTCAACGCGGGGGCCTCGGCATGCCTCCCGAACCATGAACGGCCCAGGGCTTCCGCAAGCGCATGATCGATACCATCGCCACGTTCAGGAGAACTGGGCCGACTCCGCTCATATTCGTCATCTCTCACATCATCGGCCTCGAC